GTGATATTGATTAATTTTATCGCGTAGGAGGCTAAAGTAGAGGTTGTATTTGCTTCTTGAATCTGCTTTGTGGCGACAGTTATCAAGGCCTTTTGCCCACCTTGAGGTAAGTTGATCAGGATAGCGCTGGACGAAGCGACTAGCCCAGTGTACTCCAACCTCAGTCTTGGCGATCTGTGAGGCAAAATTGCGTATCATTGGCTGAGTAGGTGGTAAGCCTCTATCTGTTGGTCGATTGATATAGGCGATTAGGGCCTGCTCCTGCTGTGGGTGGAGGAGCTGCCGTTTTTGGCCACCTATCGCGCGTGAGGCGTGTAGGCCTTGGTGTCTTCGGGTAAGCGTAGATCGAACAACACCATATTTTTTTGCAATATCTGTATACGAAAAAGGCTCATCAGGTCCTAGGGCATTAATAGCTGCAAGCGCAGCCTCAATATTAGCCATGGTGGTGGGGATACGACGCGTTGAGGTTGAGGTGGTTGTAAGGCGCGCGCGCACTTTGTGGTCGCGCGCACTTTGTGGTGGGGCTAGTTATTGTCCCATGCGACTGATCCGTTGAGCCTCTAAGCACAAGTACGACGTCGCAACCAGCAAGCAGTGCTGTCCCATTGGCATAGCACGTTTTCTTTTTCTCTATTATTCCTCCTCTTTTCTCCCTTGAAAGCAGTGCATCCGGGTAATCATCGACTTCCGCACTTGTACGCCATGGCAAACCATATTTGACAGCGCTTGCACTATTCTCAACCGGAAAACAAGGCTGCCGACTAGACGATTTTGCTCATACAAGGCGTCATTATGGCCGGATTGGGAAGAGCTTTCACTATGCCCTAGCGGGAATCTCTTACTTCCACGCCTTCTCCCACGTGACGCCACGGACAAAGTTAGACCTAGAAAAACACGGTTAAGTATACACTGCGACACCACACTCCAAGTGAACTGCATAGAGGACCTGAACGAGGCCTTGGGCGGATACTCTTCACCCCATCTCATGCGAAAGAAGCTCTTACCGCTCTTCGAATGCGAACCTCTACCCAGAACGGACCGAATAGGGTGCATATGTACTGGCTTGAATGTATCGTTTTCTGCCCCACCAATCGCCCACTCAGTTTACAATACCGTGCGCCTTGGTCAAAGGCAGTTCGTTTGTAAGACGGCGGCATGAAAATTGTACGCAAGCATGTGGGTGCCCTCGCAGTACATCCTCCTAAGTCCATCACTCCCCAGCCCCCATCGGAGTTATCGATTAAGTCCGACCATAAAGGCGCAAGCCTAATCGTTCTTGGAGAACGTGAGTTTGTGTATTGGACGCCTGAGCCACCCGCTGTCCTACGATTCATTTGGACTGAGTATATATATCTGTCACGCGAGGTCTAGGGGTCTGATTCAGCCACAGCACGGTTGCCATCTATTCATCCAGACTCTTCTTTGCGTAAACTCATCGTCCCACTGACAATCATGACAGCAAACACTGAAAAGGAACTCATCCTAATCACAGGTACCATCATCGTACAACACGTCTCAACTGCCAAGACTGACGCTCTCTCTCTCAGGAGGTACAAACGGTGTTGGTCTAGAGACTGTGATATACATTGCCTCTGCTTCACCGAAATACCACATTATCATCGGCGCGCGCAACCTCTCCAAAGGCGAGAAAGTCCACAAAGACGTACAGGCCAGGCCCGGTATCCAAGGCACTGTTTCCGTCGTTCAACTCGATGCCACCGATGACGCATCCATCCAGGCAGCAGCCAAAAAAGTTGAGCACGACTTTGGCCGTCTCGACGTCTTGATCAACAATGCCGGTATATGCCCGGAGCGAGACGGCCAGTGGCCCGACCGCAAGGTCCTCCAGGATACCTTTGAGACCAACGTGTTCGGCCCTGCCATAGTCACTCAGGCTTTCATCCCAGTGTTGAAAAAGTCCTCTAGCCCGCGCCTCGTCAACGTCACGTCGATAATGGCCAGCATAAGCTCCATCTCGGACCACAGCTTGCCTTATTCAGGCGCCCGTTATCCTGGCTACCGCATGAGCAAGGCAGCGCTGAACATGCTGACGGCATACCAGTACTTCCAGCTCAAGTCTGAAGGATTCAAAGTGTGGGCGTTCTGCCCTGGCTACGTCGCGTCGGACATTGGAGGTGACAAGGAAGAGAGAATCAAGCAGGGTGTTGACAGTACCGAAACAAGTGCGAAAGGCTTGTTGGAGATTGTCGAGGGTCAAAGAGATGAGCATGTGGGCTGCTTCATAGGCCGGAATGGAGCCAAGTACGAGTGGTAAAGGGTGCTAGAAGCAGAGTACATGAGGACGTCCATTTTGCAACTCAATTCACGTGGTAACAGCACAGGCCTATGATATCCCTCTTTAGTTCACCCCATGTTTCGCTCACATATATTATTAATCGACAGAAAATCATACAAATCATTCGAATCTACTAATTCATCTCTTGTCCTCGGTATCTCCAAGTTCACGGCCCGCAAATCAGTCGACGGGCTGGCCGCGTGCAGAGCAATTGACCAATGACAGGAGAAGGTAAGACCACGCACGCGGGAAGCTAGCGTGAACATATGCATGGCAGGAGCAACATTGACCTTTACGTCCTAGCAACACACCACCAGGGAAGGCACAAAGACATGGGTCAAAGAATATATAGGAGCAGATACCTGCTGCCAGCAGCTTTGCTCTTTGCATTGAGCGGCTTCATTTTGTACACACCGTTTGAGGGCACAGACGGCAGTATGCTGGCGTCATGGGTAAGATTTCCTGGGTCCGACAGAGTGAATACTAGTTTTCTAACTACACCAGGCTTCTGCGGGCATGGTGCTCTTTGCTCGTAAGATCACACTCCTACGGAAACATGTGCGCGTCACTGACGACACACAGAGAGCGCATCAGCCTCCAGACCCGATCTTCGCTTCAACCACATCCAGGTCATTGGCACGCACAACTCGTACCATCGTGAAGTATCCCTCGCCGAGCGTGCCGTTTTCGAAAAAAACGTGCCATCGCCGCAAGACTATTTCTACTCGCACGCCGAGCTTCACAACCAGCTGGAACATCAATCCGTTCGTTCGCTTGAGCTCGATTTGCATTCCGATGAGCACGGCAGCCTATACTACCCGCCCCTGATCTGGACCCTATCCAATCTCACAAACAAAACTACGCCGTTTGACGGCGATATTTTTAAAAAGCCTGGCATCAAAGTGTTCCACGTGACCGACTTCGACCCGGACTCTGTATGCCACACCTTCATCGACTGCCTGCAGGAACTCAAGCGTTGGTCCGACGCCCATCCAACACACGTTCCCATCACGGTAGACCTGGAGCTCAAGACCGACGCACCCGCCTGAAAATACGGCGGCGTGTGTCCGGGCGAAGCCACAAACTGGACGCTAGCCCGCCTTCTCAACGTCGACGCCGAAATCCTATCCGTCTTCCCGCGCTCGCAACTCATCCGCCCAGACGACGTGCGCACAGCCAATCTCACGCTGGAGCAATCCATCCTGCAGCACGGCTGGCCCAGTCTCGCCGCCACGCGCGGCCGCATCCTCTTCTACATGGACAACGACCCGAAACCCAGCGATCCCAATTCCCCGCGCCAACTCTACCTCACGGGCGCGCCGAGCCTGCAGAACAGAACCGTCTTCACGAATGCGCTTGAAGGCTCCCCCGACGCGGCGTTTATTAAGTACAACGAGCCGCGCGGTAACGGCAGCGCTGAGATCCAGCGCCTGGTGAGAAAGGGTTATCTAGTTCGTACGCGTGCGGATATCCCGATTGGGACTTTGCTCAACCGCTCGACGGAGCAGCGGGACCGCGCGTTTAGTAGCGGCGCACAGATTGTCACCACGGATTTTCCGGCTTGGGGCATGAGCAGTAGATATGGGTGGGATTACGTGGTGAGGTTGCCGGGGGGCCGAGCTGCGAGATGTAATCCAGTGACTGCACCAAAGGGATGTAGAGACGACGAGTTGGAGTAAGTTGAGGTCAGTATAGAACACAGGAGAAGAATGATTGATGATTAGGTATGCATGCATTCTACTCGGCCATTGCAAATTCTTCACAATCGCGTGTATGTAATATTGTTGATAAAGCAGCCCAAGAGGAGTGCAAGGCCCTCACTTGACAATTATTCGTTTACTGCCATGCGGTTACCAGTATGAGGCGTTGCAGCATGGCTAAGCTACAGCTTGGCTCCGACATGGCTTTGTGCCTTCAACGCCTCATCGACAGCACTCATGGCAGCTATCAGCCTCTCCTCCTGCAGTCTCGGCGCAACAACCTGCACGCAAAGCGGTGTTCCAAGGTAAACCGAGCGATCAAAGTTTGTCCCTAAATCTGGCGTCAGCAAACAGCACCCATGTATCGTAGGTTATAGTTCAGAAGCTTCATAACGTACAAAGCGCACGGTTGGCTTTATCCCATGGACCCAGAGGCTCATTGTGCTCCATCTCACCAAGCATGTCGGCCTTGTCGAAGAGCCGTACTGGCACAACACCGGCGGGATAATCCAGCAGGACAAAGGAACTAGTGTAGCTCACGCCGTTGTACCTATCAATCGGCGGAACAGGATGTGGAGCAACAGGGCAGATGAAAGCATCAATCTCGCCGTGCGTGTCTTTCCAGATTTTCAAGAACTCGATTCGCAGTTTCTCGCGTCTGCCATGGAGCTGCTGTACCTGTTGCAGGTCCATGGGCTTCTTGCGTCTGAGACGGGTGGAGAGCCAGGGCGAGAGAGGCTCGTTGAAGGATTCGAGCAGGTCAAACATGTCGTTTGCGCCTTCGATGCCGAAGAGAGCGTTGGCGAGAGACTGGCATTGAGAGAAGAGAGGTGTGATATCCATTTCGACAACGTCGATGCCTGCCTTTTGCAGCTTCACCTTGACTTCGTCGAGGATGTGGAGGACAGGTGGGTGCGGATCAATGACTCCGTCTCGTCTGACGATGCCGATTCTGAGTTTGCGCTTAGAGAGGCTAAGGGAGGGCCATGACAGCGGTGCAACGTCTGGGTCTTTCTCCCACGGTCTCTGCAAGGACACGGCGCTGAAGAAGAGGTCCATGTCGCGCATGCTGTGGGCGAGGGGACCTGCACTGGCGGGAATGCCGATTTTGCTGGCACCTGGTAAGGAGCCGCCTTCTTGGCCTGCGTAGGGTATACGCTCCCAGCTTGGCTTGATACCAAATGTTCCATCGCACATGGCTGGAATGCGGATACTACCTCCGACATCTGTGCCCACGCCCAGGATGGAGCCACGCATAGCTAGCAAGGCGCCCTCACCGCCAGAACTTCCGCCAGCTGTGACAGCTGTGTTGAACGGATTCAGCGTGCGCCCAAATATGTTATTGTGGGAATCCAAGGCCATGAGTGTTTGCGGGACGTTACTCTTGCAGTACAAGATAGCGCCAGCGTTGAGCAGGCAATCCACCAAGATGGAGTTTTCAGCTGCTGGGTTAAAGCACAAGGCCGCAATGCCAATAGAGGCATCGTATCCACGGACTTTGAAGGTATCTTTGAGCGAAACGGGCACGCCATGCAGAGGTCCAAGAGGCGCTTTCCCTGCCGCCAAGTGGGCATCGAGCGCCGCGGCTCTTTTTAAAGCGTCGTGAAAAAAAATTTCGGTAAGACAGTTTGTGAGTTGGTGTGCGATGGCTGCTCTCTACCGCACGATTAGGATCCCATTGACTTGCCAAATGCCACGCTTACTTTGCAAAAGGCTCGAGCCACGTCAATGCACCTTAATCTCTTGTCCCTGATGGCTGCGGCGAGTGCAACGGCATCGTAGTGTTCTGTGATTTGCAGCTCTGGTCCGGTTAAGAGCCCGCATTTGCGTGGTATGTCGAGGTAGTTGTGCACGTCTGGCCCTGGCAGAGTGGCCAACCTCCAGTCTGGCGGGATGCGCTTACTCTGCTCGTCCCTTTTTCTCTGGGCGACGAGCTGCCAACTGGCTGTGGGGGAAGATTCTTTAGGTGACATGACGGTATTGAACGAGGACGAAGTGATGTAGTGTAATGCTGTGAAGCTCGATGATGCTGCGGAGAAGCCGAGGTAGGCCGAATGCAGACTACAGTGCCCGTGCACCAGATGAGCACCATCGCCAGTTGAGCACCCCCAACAACTCAATATAGTCAACAAGATGAGGCTGTAGAGCCACCACAAATCGTAATAAAATTGCGCAAAGCTAGGATTATACTATATACAGGCCTACGAAAGTTTTGGCTTATTCAGAAATTTTTTGGAGGGCGTTATCGGTCGTTGCCGTCGACTACGCGGTGGAGCAGCTCGTGCAACCCTTGCGGCTCCCACCACAGCTGGAGCAACACCACCACACTTTTGACGCTTTGTAGCTGGCTTATGAGGTTTTGACGCTTTGCGCTTACCCGATTGGGGCAATTGTATAGCTTTGGCAGCGTCGCGGAGGCTTCTACGATGCTCTCTTTCGGCTTTCTCTGCAGCCTTCCGCTTTCTGGTCTCCTCCCAACCCTTCTCCCGCTCAACACGGGCTGCTTTTTGAAGTTG